CAACAGACTTGTTACAAGTTGTTCCAATAACTTGTTATCGCCCTGCAATTCAACAATTTGTCAACAAGTTGTGAGTGACAACCTTGTAGCAACTTCATAAAATAACAGCATTGTTACAAGCTTGTACAAGCCTGTTGCGAACACATCTTGTTGACAAGTTGTGAGGTTTTTACGTGTGCACCACAGTATTTACATGCCATGTAATTTTAAAAGTTAATAGGTTACCATGTCAAAATATAAATACAAACTATTAAACACAGCATACCTTGAAATGGGCGATCAGGTTGAGGCGGAAGGTTCTCCCGCAGGATAGGAACAGCTGGCATAGGATTCGGGTATGCGGGCATTTCAGATCTCTTCAGATCGGCCGCAAATTCAGCAGACAAGTCACTGGCAGCCGTGCTGCCCTCAGCTTGGTGGCGTCTTTTAATATGAGCATGGAGGTCTCGTTGTGAGAGGTAGCTACGCCGACAGCCTGATATGCCATACCGGCTACCACCAAATGAACAGACGAACACATGCCCCAACCTGGCTGGTTCGATACGCTGCACGATTTCGCCGCATCTGTAATGCAGTCGAACTGGAATTAGGCTGGCGGAGGTTTTGTGCTCATCGGTTTCTAGTGGCTTTAATGGACCGATTCCCTAATGACCAAAATTTTGATCTAGACAAGTCTAGACAAACATTTCACCACAGCTTGAAAGAGCACCACAAAATTATTAATATTCCGAAGTTTCGTTGCGAAATGTTGTAAAATGCGGATAATATAGCTTGCGAAGCTTGCCGTTTTTCAGTCATTTTGCATTACAATCTAACATTTTGCATCAGTTTGATCATCTGATTATCAATTTCCCATTTGTAATATCAAATGACTTAAAAACGGCAAACTTCGCAGGGCTATATTATCCGCATTTTACAACATTTCGCAACGAAACGTCGGAATATTACTAATTTTGTGACGCTCTTTCAAACCGTGATAAAATTTTTGTCTAGACTTGTTGAGATCAAAATTTTGTTCATAGGGAATAGGTCCATTAAAGTGCAATTAACCTCAAATATAATTTTTGGTATGTGTACAACTTGGGTTATTCTACGAAGAAATGTAATATATCTTTATAGTAAGAATCCTCATCTTGATCAACTTTTTCACTATCAATGTTTTCGGATATGATGTTATTTGGTGAATATTTGGTACAAAAAACAAAGGAAAAGTAATTTGCAATTCACCTAATGACATCATATCCGCAAACTTTGACAGTGAAAAAGTTGATCAAGATGGGATTTTTTATTACAAAGATATATTATGTCAGTAGCCAACTCGAAAGCTCACGCTACTTTGGCTACTGCGCACATCCAATCTAAGTTTATAATACATCATTATGTAATAATTCTTAAGTTCTATAATTTCAACAAATAACTTGTTAATACTAATATCATGTGCATAATAAATCTTTCTTTCTTTCTATTACATTTCTTCTTCGAATGACCAAAATATTACACATACCAAAAATCCCTGAAACGTTTATGGACTTTGCACAGTTCTTTATTCTGTACATTGCAGTGATTGTATTGTATAAACGTTTCCACAGTTACAGTATGCCTTTTACATAGAAGATAGAAGATAGAATTTAATTCACCACACAACAAAACATACAGTAAAGTACAAAAATAACAAAAGAAATGTCTAAAAGGTGGCGACGATGCCCAACTGGAAGCAAAGCTTATAAAACGTTGGGCACCTCATACTTAGGTAGCTATATATATACAGTGTAATATTTATAGAAAATTTACATGGAGATCGGAATATTTAACAAGCAAATTAATAGTTTAGATACATAAAAATTAACAAAACTATATAAAATATAATAATTGTGAGACTAATATTTTGAAAAAAGATGTTGTTTAAGCTGAAATTGAAAACTCGAAACTGAAGCAGCAGTACGCATATCTGAGCTCAGTGAGTCACACATCTTTATGAAGACTTTCGCTTAATAGTGCTCGCAAACAAATTTGCTTTCAAAATGAACTACGCTATTCCTTGTCACAATCTTGTTGGAAACAATTCAGAAGACACAAACACCAGAGTGGGTTATGAAGGTCGACAATCGGCTATTTCCCAAACAAAAATACGAAATGTATGTTTGAACATGTTGACTAATCAGATAAAATACGCAGCTTTCATTTCAATTAAGTTCTGTTCAAAAAGGATGCATTAAAAAAGAAAAAAAACACATTTTCTTGGCTTCGCTATGACAGGTAACAGAAGTTTATGATACCAAGTTTATGGTACCAGACATGTAGAAAATTTAAAAAAAAACGACCAAGAAATTTTTGGTGGCATTCATCGTTATTATTCCATCGATTAGTCATATGGAACCATGTGATCTCGTGTTCGTATTTTAGCCAATCAGCGCTCAGAAAGGGTTGTCCGAATAGAAATCCATTTTGATGTATTCAGTCAATTATATCTTTCATTATTCTTTATGAAACAAGTTGAAATTTTATAATTATGTTTGGTTATGAGAACTATAGCTCTGACAAAAATATGGAATCGAAATAAAGTATATTACAGGAGATATTCAGTTGTTTTAATCATAAAATGGATTTCTATTTGACAACTAGTGCCAGTTCTTTTCGGCGTATCAAGATCACCTGGAAGTGATTAGCACGCCCAACAAATGTAAATAATGAAAAGCAATCTGACCATTAGTTATAGCCAATGTTCAAGCAACTTCACGCTTCTGACATTTGTCAGACGTAAGGGAAATTGTGATTGTCCACCAGGACAGACACCAGCTCAATGTACAGTAATACCTACAGAACAGTCAGTGTGTCCTCAAGTGAATCATACATGTACAAACATAAAAAGAAACATAGTAACATACCTGGGACATTTTCCGCTGGCCTTCTCAGCACAAGCCAGACAGAAAGCATGTTTACATGGACTCTAGAAAACATGAAACAGGATATGAAAAATGGTCAAAAAATTCTGGTCAAAAAATGGACCAAAAACTAGCAAAATAATTTCATTCAATCTGACCACCCTGCAAAGAATACACTAGAGAAAAATTCAAATGCATTCGAACTATAGACCCATTGCACATGACGTCACAGCGCCGGTGACGATGCATCTGGAGAACAAATTAGCAATCTATGCATAATATAACTTTTGTAAACAAAGCAAATTTTGTAAAACTTGTATTAAAACTTTTGTATTAAAATGGTTAATTTTCGCGCTGTATGTGGTTGTTGTACCCGAACAGATTTTGTTAGGGAGCATCTGGAGGACACTCTGAGGATTTGTGACGTCAGTGCAATGGGTCTATACAGTACATTAGTGAAAAATGAAATTGAAAAAATGTTCAACCAAATTTGCAAATTTCTGTTCAAATTTCACTTTGGTCGGACAACTTTGTATGCTGTAGATGAACATTGTAATTCTGAAGATTACCCAAAACAAAATGATATATAATACATTTACCATTCTTCCATACAAGAGTATAGGCAAGGCACATGTCTCACACTGATGTAGCAAAGGATCTTGAACTTTCTGACCAATAAGTAACAACTAGAAATGAAAAATGTTTGGGGCATTTATGTAGGGTTATGGCATTATTGCCCTTCAGATGTTGGGTGTCATGAAGAAAATGTCAGGGACTTAGTTAAATTTGCACAAACCAAGAAATCTCATCCAAAAATCTAATGATATATTTAAATGCGGGCACTCATTTAAACTAAAATTGATCAATCATTATCATTCTTTCTTGATAAAAAAAGTCAGAACATTTTATAAAATTCGTTCATTCCAGAAAACATCCATACCACCCCATGGAGGAAATAGGAAGTCAACCCCCCTATGTCCTAATACATTTACTATTATCAGAAACAATTTTTTCTCCCCTCCCCCTCCGGACGGCAGAAATTTCCTCCGTGGGTGGAGTATGGATCTTTTCTGGAATGACCCATTGTTTCTGAGTTATGTATTGCTATTTCAGTGATTGCCTTTGAACTTAACCCATTGAGTCGCATTGCACCCTGATGCACCCTACTTTAGTATTTTACTCTGTCTAACGCCAGATGATTTTACTCGTCAAGGGGAGAGTGCTGGTGCTTAATGGGTTAACTGACCTATCGGCCCATGTGTCTAGTTAACGCATCAAGTCGCATTGCACCCTGATGCACCCTACTTTAGTATTTTACTCTGTCTAACGCCAGACAATTTTACTCATCAAGGGGAGAGCGCTGATGCTTAAGAATTCTCCATATTGCTTGCAATTTTGGGGGTGGAAACTTGCTACAACCTGCGACTTAACAAGTTAAGGGGACAGTACTGTCACTGGCGTAGCCAGCCCGACAATTTAGTCTCGCTATACAAATTCAAAATTATTATCATTATTCATTTCTTTAGAAACTGATTGTTTTCACAGGCAATGAACATGAAAATATTTGCATACTAGCGGGCTAAATCTTCAGACTGGCTATGCTGCTGAGTACTGTGTAGGTCCAGTGATCTACCGGTTGATTCCAAAGTAATTCGTTGACAGGTTTTGTTGCAGAAGACGCTGATTCGCTTGATGTCTTTTTCTTCTTGCTCTCTTTCTCACCTGCAAGTGTGGAAAAAATATTTTACTTTGTGGGACCACAAGCAGAGAAATAACAGCTGGAGGGTCTCCAGTCAATGTTCCCGGCCAACTCAATTTTAGCTCAGACGTACCGAATTTCTGGCCGGTCAAATTATTCAGCTTAAAGCAAAGCCTAGTAAAGTATACCCTTAAAAATGTGACTATTTTCCCAGTATAGCATTACAAAAAGCCTTACTGACTGCTGTAATCAGTAATTAATCCTTCACATAAAACAGCTTGCACTGCGCTAAAAGCATGGCCTTACAGTGAAAGGCATGGCCATGGGCTTTGTGACGTACCGCGTTGGAGGAAAGTTGGCATACATTGAAGTTCTTTTCCCGCAAAATATTCGACACCAAAAAATTGGTTCTTATTTATAATACTTGACAACTTTATGTATTTTGATTATTAATTCAAATGAAGATTAGTTTGTTCTTTTACCAAGTGACCTGTCAAAATAACCAGCAAGGTAAGAATTTGACCGGACAACTCCGCATTCTGGCCGGACATTGGCCGTTGGCCGGCCATTACTGTATTTTGCGCCCTGACAAGACAGCATTGAAAAATTGGACACTGTAACTATGCAATACTAACAGGTTCAGTTGTCAAACTAAATGTTGTCATTTTACAGATAAAGCACTAAACATACTTCTTAAGTTTGTTGCTGCTTGAGAAACATATCAAAAATTTAAAAATTTGAATATAGTCATAACCAAATGGAAAGTATATTCAATAGTTTTGAGCGTGTGTTACATAATGCCATTAAGCAAAAAAAAATATGTGGGTTTCCGGTTTCCCGACCCTACCTAGCTTTTGGACGTCGAAATCCCGACCCTAAACTTTTTTATTGGATCAAGTGTTTCCACTTAGAGGAAAACGTTTGTGGAAAATTGAAATTTGAGGCAATATTAGGGAAATTTATCTTTGGATGTGGAAGCACTGACTAAACAAAATGTCCGGTTACCAACCTACCCTACCTAAGTTTTTATAAGAAGAAACCGGAAACCCACATATTTTTTTGGCCTTATTTGTTGCATATTAGTTTCCCAGCCCCCGCCCGCATAGGTGAAAATTTCAGAAATTCCCGAAAACCACATATTTTTGCAATGATTTTCTTGGCACAGATTTTGGCGCAGCTTTACATGAATTCGAAAAAATCTTCGGCGCAGAAAATTGAGAAATTCACCCTGGCTGAATGGCACCTAAACAACAAGTTCCCCTACCTTCACTATGGATTTTCTTCTCGCTTTTTTTCTTGTCTTTTTTCTTTGACTTTCCTTCAGTCTTGGGTTTTAGTTTCAATGAAATATTCTTCCTCACCGTCTGGTGCGTCAAGTTTGCCGACGCCCGCTCTGAATCCAACTCCAGATCTTAACAAAACAATTCAGGAATTTAACAAATATATAAATGATTATTTATATACCAAGTGTCCAAGTTTACAGTCGATTTCAACTTACTTTTCACTAAAACGTTGCGAACTTCGTTCTGAACTTCGTAAATTTGTTGCCAAGTTCAAAAGTTCATAATGAAATTCACAAACAGGTTTGTAAACTGAGCATTTGATTGGCTGGTTTGATTTAATAGCCAATCAGAGGCTTTGTTTACAAACCTGTTTGTGAAGTTCATTATGAACTTTTGAACTTGGCAACAAATTTGCGAAGTTCGGAACGAAGTTCGCAACATTTTAGTGAAAAGTAAGTTGAAATCGACTGTAAAGTGGAAGTCAAGTCCGTAATGTAAACAAACGGTTTGTTTACATTTTGAACTGCTGTATTTTTTAAAATACAGTATGATGTACTGCCTGAATATCTAACACCATTTTGGTTCGCTGTGCTTCTAAATGAATATGAAATAGAGTAAATTTTTGTTCAGAAAAATTCGAAACATTTGAAATTTGGGCAATGTTTACATGAGAGGTCCTCACATTGTTATGAGCAGAACCGATGCGCAGAGCGGACTTGACCTCCACTTTAATTTTCCTGTTTGCCGATTGGACAAAACTGTATCACATGTCGGTCCACAAAACGTCTGGTCATGCACGTTCACTACATGCATTGTGAGTGGGCAACCGGTCAACAATGAAACAATAGACAATTCCCATCATAGTCTAATTTTAAAACTAGGCAAGGAGATGCAAATAAATCACCACAGCTAGAAAGAGCATACTAAAATTAGTAAAATTGCAAAGTTTGGTCGTGAAATGTTGTAAAATGTGGAAAATGCAAAGTTTGCAAATTTTGTATACTTTTAATTTGTATTGCGTGCGGAAATTGCTACCATTTTCGGCCCAAATGTGGTAGCAATTTCTGCACATAAAAAAGTATACAAAATTTGCGAACTTTGCAAAGCTATATTTTTACGCATTTTACAACATTTCGCAACCAAACTTTGCAATTTTACTTATTTTAGTATGCTCTTTCTGGGAATATATTTTTTTTGCCAAGATAAAAAATTAGTCTATAATGGGAATTGTCTATTATTGACCGGTCAATAATAAAACCAGAAGTGAGGCACAAGCTGTTCGCATGAACCAGCAAGTTCAAAATAAAGTTCTTTCAAGAGTTTACGCATGTCTGCCGGTCGGTTTTATTACACTTTTGGAATACCAGCTGAATAATTGAGACTTTGACAATTGCTATATAATAAAACACTTATTTACAGAGACCTCAGCGCTGTTGTTGCCCGAAGTGAATCTGAGGGTGACAACAATGGTCTCGGGGCACAAAACACGCTGTTTTCCTCGGTCTCAGTGAATAAGTTATAAATGTACCGTACATGGGTACTGCCCTATGCAATATATTGATACACTGCCCCATGCCCGGAAGATATTGAATATATATCACCGTTTTATAAGGAATACAACAAATCTCTCGCTGAAATACAACAGTCTAATAGTTTATAAACAACACAACACATTATAAAAGAGAAAATCACGCATGAAAACCTGTCAAAATTACAAAATAAAACGAAATAAAATCGCAAAATTGCTCACCTGCGTCCGCCATATTGAAAAAATGATTTTTGTTGTGAATCCGCTGTGCGTTAATAGAAAACGGCTCAATTTATACACTGACCTCATGGTCCAAACTGGACTATATCGGATGGAAAAAACATAGGTGCGCTGCGCGTACGGAATACTTCGTGATAGGAGTGGTCATTATTTATGGAGGAGGATGACAAGGAAGAAAAATGTTTTTGTTGGTAAAACTTTTGCTGATTGTCACACATGTCCTTTATCACTTCGGTGGCAAGAATTTGATAACTGCTTATGATACATGATTTAGAGTGTATTATCAAGTATATACTCGGGTAACAGTGTTACAAGTGTTACACTATCTTTATGTAGGGGTGGGGTTAGGGGTAGGGTTAGTGGTAGGGGTAGGATTAGGGGTGGGGTTAGGGTTAGTGTGTGTAACACTATGTAACACTATGTAACACTGTCAACACTCTGTAGCACTATGTAGCACTGTGTAACACTATGTAACACTGTGGAACACTATGTAGCACTGTGGAACACTATGTAACAATGTGTAGCACTATGTAACACTATGT